TTTAAAAAATTTTGGTTTTTTGCTCCAGGTTCAATCGAATGGTAGATCCCCGCAACGCCGATTTGACAAAACGACGTTTAGTAAATTGGCTTCAGCGTCGCCATTTTGTTAAAAAAATAAATAAAAAAATATTTTTTACTTCTAAAGACTTGTATTATTAAAACCTTAAAACGAATTTTTTGTTACTTTTATTGTTTTCCTAAAAAAATTCCCAAAGTTACCGATTGATTTTTAAGCGGTCAAGGTGGTGTATCCCCTTAATCCGATACGATCGACATGAGCGCGAGGCGAAACAACGTCCGACGAATTGATGGAAAGTGTTTACCTCGTCAAGAGCGTTTCCGTGCGCATGTATTCATGTATGTGCGTATGCGTATATCTTCTCGCGGATAAGCCTGAAAGTGTTCCCCGAGTCCCCGGAGCACCGCCGATTTCTCGCCGTCGTCGCCGTCGAATCCCGATAGAGTCGAATAAGCGACACGCATGCAGGTGTTATTCTGCGCGGTGTGTGTGTGACGGGCGAATATTGTGGCAGCTGGAAATCGGCATGCGATATCTCTTATGCAATTCGCGTGTGGTGCGTTCAGTCGCTGCCCGCCTTAGCCCGCTTGTGGTCATACCTGGTGTATCTCGTTAACGCGCCGCGAACGCGACCGTGCTCGCGACGATAAATTACAGGGGAAATCGGCCGATTTATTTCTGTAATTACGTGTCCTCCGCTCGTGTGGATCCCCCCTTCCCGTTCTCGCGAATTGTTGAATGCATTCGGCCCGATTAAATTGTTTAATTGCGAACGTTAATTGCAAAGTCGAAGAGTTCACGAGTTAAATCTGTACGATGCTGGCGCGTTTGTGATAGCGATAGGCGCATTCGATCCTGCATCGTGACGTCGACTTGACAGATTATGATTTGTGATCCGATGTCTCGGTACAAGAAGTAAGTGGGACGTTCGGTAAACGCTGAGCCACATAAGATTATGATATAATAGATATTACATAATGAATTTAATACATGTGTGTGTGGATAACAGACGAATTATTTTGATATGAATTTCTTTGGCAAAAAAATGCTCACATGTTATTAAATGCGCATCCAATTACGTCCGTTTTTTTTTCTATTTATTGAACTTGAACTTGGTACATGAAGATACATTTTTTTTTTAATGTTCTATCGTCGGTTTTAATTGGCATTTTGATAAATTACTCGACATGAGTCAAACATTCAGTTCTCCTGATAGCTCTTTTGATGCGCATTAAATAAATATACTACACTGTATGTAAAGGCAAATTTACGACACCGAGAATGTACGATGTGCGTGTTATGTTATTTAATAATAACTGTTTTTCTCTAATTCTAAATACAACGACTGACAATTACAACACACATAACGTGACGTATGCTAATTGCCGCAGCCTCGCGAGCGACGCAGACTCTTCGATGAAAACCATGGAGGTGGCTAATGATATCGTGGAATTGGAGCTCCGAAATGTGAAATTTCGAGAGCTCTGCGAGGAGAACAATGTCCTTCGCGACGAGCTCGAGCGGCACGAAAGATCAATCGACAAACTCAAACAACAACACAGCATCGTCGAGAGACAGCTGTGCGTATGATTTACTTTTTGGCGTCCAAATGTTCCAACTGTGTTCGCGAAAATAAATTTAAAAAAATCGATTTGTATTAATGTATTCTTATGACATTTATGCTTATGCAACGTTATGCGTTTTTTTATCGATGCAGAAAGCATTACGCTCAGAGATGTCAGCAACTCGAAAAGGAGAACGACGAGCAGAGAGATCAGTTAAACGAGTTGTTCAAGAAAGAAAAAACGATGGCCTCGGCGCTTCAAAGATACACAAAAGAGCATGAGAATTTGTCGAAGCAATTGGAAGCTGCGGAGATTGAGGTAAAACTAATTGCTTCTTATATTTTATAGAGAGTTGCTTATAGTTTCCGTTCGGACCCCGATAAATAGATTTATAACGATCCACATTTTTTCGGATATAATCGAAACAAATATTAAATTTTCACTTCATATTTCGCTGCACAATTTTCCGTAACTAATATTCGAGTATAATTTCTCAGATATTCGAGATTTTGAATAGATGTTGGAATATAAATATTTAATTAACAAAGAATCTTTTTCAACGTTGAATTTTTAAATTTTATGAATTTTTGAATTTTTAAATTAAATTTTACGTTCCGTTTTCGCGCGTGCAATTAAATAGGTACAGGCTATACCGTCTCTAAAAGAAGAACTGGAAAAAGTCATTAAAGAGAAAATGGACTGTTTGAGACGGATCGCCAAAATGCAGGAGGAATTTGACGAAAAGGAAAGCAATTGTAGCCAATTAAAAATCACGATAACCGAACTCGAGGACACTAGTCTTAGTATGAAGGAGAGCTACGAGTACACGATTCGCGTAAGTTTGAGCACTGCCCGAGATGCATAGCGATACCTAACAGCCGCGAATTATAATGCTAACAGCGACAAACGTGTATTGCAGAATCTGCGTGAAAAGAATCGTCTGCTCACGGACGAAAATGTGGAGCTGCAGTCGTTGTCGGCCTTTAACGCGTGTTCTTCACTCGGGGAAATGGTAAACTATTAGCTAATGTTATAGAAATGTAATGTGTAAAAATATTTCTCGCGGTATAATCGGCGCGATTTATTTACAGCTCTCGATGTCGCCAGTTTTGGACATAGATGGATTCTGCTCCGCCAGCACACCTTGTAAATCGATAAAAGTGCCGGAGCAAGATTCATTGTACACGGAATTGAAAGCTTTAGTGAGTGAAAAACGTTCATTTTGATTAAATGTTTTTTTTTTTCGAATGCGCGAATATGTAGTAACAATTAAAACGTGAACATTTTTAATGGAAACTAAAATTTTTTGTAAATTATATTCTACGTATTTCAGGGTTTTACAGCTGAGTGCAACAGAAACGACACGCAAGAACTCGAGGAGGAACTGAGAGAATACGACGACGCGATGTTTACGATATCGGAGCAACTAGAAAAGTCATATCGATTTAATTACTTTCTTTTACTTTCCTCTATTAATCGTCCTCCGTGCGATCTCTCTCGTCGAGCTTGCTTTACGTTTTGTTTGCGATTGATTTTTCAGAGTTGTACAGTTTTTCGTTACGGTGCGAGGCTCCGCCGTCGACTTACCTCACGTTAACCCGCGTGAGACGGATGCAAGAACTTTTAATGTCAACGTATTGAAACACAAAGCATCCCTTCTACTGAATATGGTTAGTCGTGGGCTTATTTTTATTTCGAGGATTTTTTTTTTTCTTTCACCGCGAACGCGTCATCGCGATGTTGATAAGGCATTCTTGAACAATCGCCTTGACACGCGCGTACCTACGACGACATTATAATACCATAGTCGGTTGACCGCGTTCCCGGTGAATGCCGATTTTCATGACAAAGCAAGACATGCACGTCTCGTCGATTTTCATTCGAAGACATTCGCGGCTCTTTCTTTTCCTTTTTTTTTTTCCTCCTCGACTCCGTTCTTCCTCTTATTTATTCGAATCGATGAATTGCATCTTCGCAGGCGACAGAAGAGATCACGAGGTGGAGCACGAGGCAGGATTCGAGCACGCAGCTTCGAGCCGAGCCGGCGGACGCGCAGATCGCCAGCAGTTTGGATCAATTTGGCGTCCGGAGTTTCCGGGATCTGTTGGCGACGCACGCAATGTAAGTTGACACGCGTTCGCATGACACAACGGCGCGAAACACTTGCGCGGCGCCTGTGTGCGCCTTACACGCTCGCCGGCGCGTAGTCCGTAGACCGAAGTGAAGATGATTAATTCCCGGAAGAGCAAGCCCATTATATCGAACGATTCCTATACCTTTTTTTTTTTTTTTACGTGGGCAAGCGGAGACCTCGCGTGCGGAGAGTTGATCTTTGTACCGAAAGGCCGAATCCGCGCCGTTCCGATTACAGATACGCCATAATCTTGGGGCAATATAAACGTCGCATAAACGGGAGAAATATCGCTTTTGATTTCCGATGCGAATGACCATTCGATACGAATATCTGGACCAAGGTCAGGCGTAGCGGGCGCGGCGTCTTCAGGGTTTTCCATAAAAATAGCGGTGCCGCGTTGCTGCGCTACTTGCATATATATATATATATATATATGACAGCACCCGCGCGAATGACACTCCACACCGGTAAAAATAACCGGGCTGCCCTGAATCTCGCCTTAAATCATGATTTCCATTTCGCGCATCCCGACAAAAATGTTTACCAGCCGAATCTACTTGCGCGCCTGGGTTCCCTCCTAATTTGATAACTCGAGAGCGTTGCTGAGGGTCGAAATTTAATCCCGACGTACGTTTTCTCGCTCGAAGTGGCCTTGCGTTTCGAACTCGCGTATACGTTTAAACGCGCTTGTTTATTGGAAGCTATTACACATGCGCTGAAATTACAGAGATTTCTATCGTAAATGGAATTTTTCTTCCACGCGAGAGAGAGAGGAAAAATATATTCCGCGAGACGACAACGGGACTTACCGAGGACTGGACTCGACGCGTGTTACATATGGATACATGGATGGAAGGAATATTCTCAGTTCTTAAACGTTCTTAAACGTTCTTAAACGTTTATTACTCTTTTTTTTTCCTTCAACTAAGAATAGAGCGCGGCTGTCCACGGGGAAATACATTGTCATGCGTCTCTCTTCCGCGGTCGATTAGCGCGATCGTTATATAGAGATCTCTCGAAATATGCAATCCGGAGATCACCTCCGTCCGGCTACAGGAGAAGAGAGACGTCAGCACCGCTAGGGAAAACTCCGGTTCACCGGGCGGGTGCAATCAGTGCGCTCCGGACCTTCCCGTCGCGCGTGTCGGTACCTCGAGAGCGGCGTTTACGAGAACGAGACCCGAAAGGATCACATTCCTACGTACGTCTCTCCCATTCAACTGGAAATCTATTTTCGGCACAAAGAAACCTGTCGCGCGACACGAGATTGATCTCTTGTTCGGTAGCGATTTTTAGAGCGATCTCCCGACCTCTCGTTAATCGTTAACGCAAAGTATTGCGGGCAAGAGTTTAGAATAAGTTCTTCGAGAAAATCGGGGGGATACAACATAAAATTGTCAACGGTTACGTCGGTTACGCGAAGTCGGAATTAACATGATGGGGAACCAATAGAATAATTAATTACACGACACGTGCGTGCTTAACAATAAGATACACGCGCAGATAGCATTGATGTAACGCAGACGTTAAGCGCGCGGGCGCGCGCGACAAGGACAGTTTGATTTGCTGCCTTAATGGCTTGATCACCGCGCTAAATCTATATGCGCACATGCACCACGCGCGCAGTTCTAATTAGTCGCCTGTGTAATCCGCACGAAATTGTTTATGTCGTCGAGATTGACCTCAGCCTTTGCGGGCGAGAATACAGGGAGGCGAATGAGTTAATTATTTTGCGTTGGTTTCTGCTTTAAAATAAAAGTTCTCGCTGGCTCCCGCGACCGCCGCATATTGGACAATTACTTTTTTTTTTCTCAAATTTTATCAGGCGTCACGCAGAGAAAACAAAGAGAATGAATATTACATCTTGAATATATATTGTTATTGAATATATATTGATATTGACGTCATTTGCAGGTGAAGTTTTGGCGACGACAGATAAGACAACTATATTTTCGTGAATACAAACTTCCGCTTTTAATCATGCAGAAACGTTTTTTGCTAATTTTCGTAACCGCTATACATATATTATACGTAACCAATTTTTTTCTTAATGTTATGTTACGTAAGCGTTAGGACAGGGAGAACAAGGATGAATATCTCGAATGTGTTTAGCTTGATTTGCTTCCATATGCCGAAGTTTCAAGGTCATTAATTTTTAACAGACTCACGTTATGCATGAATTTGCGTTTCGCCGCCGGCTATTGCTGACATTTAAACAGTTATCGCCCGTTATCGCGCGAAAAACACATTGTCTATAATTGTTTATATCCAAGTTAAATATAGTCAACTTTGTAAATTCTAATTTATAATAGCCGCGCTAAAGTTGCACAATGCGTTAATTACGCCCGCGGCGTTTACTCAGCTTGCCGTGTTCTTCAACCTCTCTTTGCTGTATAATCACTTCTAGCCGGCCGAAAGCGGAGGCGGGTCTGCGGGTCTCGATAGTTTCTTCGCACTGCGTGAATAACGAAGACGATGACTCGTTCTCGAGAGTTGTAAAGACGTGCACACCGGGCGCTCAAAGTCGATTCCGCATCATAGAACCCATCATCGAAGAATTACACGACATCATCGAGAGCACCCTCGGCGCTCTTGTCGATCACAAAGACCGCCCGCTATCCGGGAATTCAAGGTCGAGTTGCGCAAGTTATTTGTAAAATATGCAACGGTTTGAATTTAATTTGCTGCGAAGTGTCGTGATAGTAAGAAAAAGGGGGAACGTGACCGCGAAATGTCTGGCGTCGTGAGCATGTCGAACAGCATACAAGTGTGTTAATTGGAAACCAGATTGCTAATAATTCAATAATTATTTTGTTCAATAGATACCGATCGATACACACGTTGCCCTCGCTAACTGCGGAAGACTCGAAGTGCCCAACATTCGGTTGTCAGAGTCCCGAAGCGAATACCATCGCTACTGCTGCTCCGCTCGCGCGAGGAGACGGTCCAACGCAGGAAGATCGCGACGAGAAATCCGCGCCGCTCGCCGCGGAAGCACGCGACGTTTCCGATCGGGAAAATCCCGCCCGGACTCGAGGGGATTCCCAGGAGGAGGATCAATCGAACGAGATGTCAAAGACATCGAGCGTCCTCCAAACGGATTCGAAGGCGTCGGCTGCGTCGGACGAGGAAGAGGCGAGTGCCGGGAGTTTCCAAGTGCCGGGAGCGAGCGGCGCGAGCACCACGAACCTCCGCAGAAAGATCTCGGTCTACTGCCGCTCGTTCGACGTGGTGGAGGTGCAGAATCCGCGCGAGGATCATCCGGGATCCAGTCTGGAAGTGAGACAGTCGTCGGGCAATCCGGACGGCTCGCCCGCGCAGATCGACAGGTTTACCACAACGGGCGATCGAAGTATCAACGCCGATGTGAAATATACGTTTAACCACGTTTACCGCAACGAGAAGAGCGACAGCGATTCCGCGAACTCCACGCCGGGGAAGCAATTCCAGGACAGCCTGCTGGACGACGAGCCACCGATCGAACAGTCGATACCCAGAAAGGTCCATTTGGCGCCCACGCGTTTGAAATTTCCGCAGGAAGCCAGAAACGAATTAGACAGAACCGCCAACGCTTCCTGTGCTTCTCCCATTCCGATGATTTCCACCGAATTGGATATTTCGAATTCTTCTTCGTATCCCGCGAACGGACACGAGAAAGATCACGACGCTCCCGTGCATTCATCTTTAATTACAGACAAAAGGAAGACGAAGAGTGTGGTATTCGGGTCTACATCGTATTTGGACACGAACGTTTCGCAGGCACATTCAGTGCCAAATTGCTGCCTGCTTCCGCGAGATCAAGATGGTGAGTATTTTTTTACTGAATCTCGATAATCTTAATTAATTCTTGTTAGATAACCGATGTCAATTAAGGCTGGGATACGTGGAATTTAATGTAATATATCACGCTTATGAATTCGTATTAATTTAATGATACGATAGGAAAAAAATTTATCGCGCGTATCAAAGTGCGATATTAATCCCATTTGATTACCGTCGACTTCTCACATCCGTCTCGGGAGGTGATATCGTGGAAATTTCTCTCAGGCTGTCTCGTTAGATCATCGATTTCGTTTTCTCCCGCAGATTCAGCGAAGATCGTGGATTCAGAGGATCCCCACTCCCAGTCGTGCGTGCGAAGAGTCGGCGGCGAGAGTCTGTCGCGAATCGAACGGTCAGTCGATAGCCAAATGTCGAGTCGCGAGGACAGTTTGGCCGCCGTTTCAGGCAGCGACGAGCGCGAGCCGACAGCGGGATCCGGTGATCGATGCGGCGGCATCGACGAGAGAGCGATCGCGAATGGGATCGGCAAGGCCGCCGTCAATGTCGTGTCATCCCCGTCGATCGAAACGTCGGTCTCTGCGAAAGTGGTGCCGTGCGAGAACGCGGAGCAGAGCGGTGAAAAAGCGCGCGAAGGAAAGAACCAGGTGGAGACGAAAGGAGAGATACAGCAGGTTGGTACACAGAGCGAGACGCGACGTATAAATTAAGTTCGAGGCACACCTCACCCGACGGTGGGGACATCATCTCGCACGTGGTAAGATTAAGGAGCGATTTGTTCCGCGCGGGGCTGTCGGATTCGATTAAATTGAATGGAGCGTATTCGCGGTGCGTGTAACTTGAGCACGCTTGACGGCCGCACAATCGGCTGCTGCTCACACGCGCGAAGGCAATTGAGCTCCGCGCTTCGAACAGAGACACGGGGCCTCAACAACGCGAACGCTTTTCGATCACGGTCGGCCGAGACTCGCGCAATTGAGATCGGCAATATTACCGCCGCTTTACAGGGAACGATCAGCGACAAATCCGCGGTCAATTGGCACTAATTACTCATATGGAATGTCGCAATTATCTGACACGCGGTCTATCGCTAGACCGCTATCGCTTGGCTCGTGTTACAATCCAGCAATTAATGTACGCGAGTCTCTTAGTTATTCGCGATAGAGAATAAGTGACCTTGAAGCTTCATTAAATATCTGTCTGGATGTCTCTCTTCGATAAGAAAGACAGCATTTTAATGCGCACGTGCACAAAATAAATAGATTTCGTGGAAACGGATTTACCGCGAGATTCGCTAGAAAAACTGGTTATACGATTTTTTTTTATTCAATTAATGCGATATTGTTCATTTTATTATTAAATGTGATGATACATCGAAACGTGTACCGATTGACTGCATAAACAGGTTTTACAGCACCTTACGATGAAACATAGACGAGAGGCGTTTCAATATTCGTGAAACGCGTTAAAGGCAATTACGCGATTTTTACTAGCGGTTTTTCTTTCACCTTTTAGCTCGCAAAGACGGAAGTTGACTTATCACCTCGCGATAATTTACTCGTTCGAAAATGGTATTCTCTCTCTCTCTCTCTCTCTCTCTCTCTCTCTCTCTCTCTCTCTCTCTCTCTCTTCCTTTGTGCCCGCGTTTTACATGTGAATAGTAAATAAACGATAGTAATGCACTTCGTTTAACGCCGCCGTCTAAAATAGCCACGGGACAGTCGCACATATTTCAAAGCAATTTCTTTCAGCTCGTTCTTTCAGCGCGGCAACGCTAATTAATTTGTCGTCGGTCAGCCGCAGCGCAACGTCTTTCCTACCGCAATTTGTCAGCTCTCGGCTAATAAATCCCTCTCCTATCGGAAATTTACGATCGAGTCAATCGATATTTGCTGTGGAAACATCGCCGCGTGACGGTGTTCCGGCTACGATTTACATTTAATCGCGTTTATTTTCTGCGTTTATCTGTCTCGTACGTAACGTACACACATACTTTGCGGAATCGATCTCAGCCTCTGTCATTTCGCTTCTTTTTATTCGCCGACGGCGAGACGCGGCAAGGCCTTTCTTGTTTTTCTCGTTCATTTATACCGATTTTTACTAGTACAGTAAATTGCCGTCCGACAAATCTGCGGCGATAAATCCCGACGGGCAAGGTTGATCGCGAGTTTTTACCTTATAAGTTACGTCGTGACAATTTTCACACGTTTCCCACTGCCGACCGATTAAAGCATCGTGAGTTTCGCGATCTCTCTTCGTCATCACTGCGCCAAATTAATCGGCTACTTACGGCCTGTTATTTCACTGTAGATGCACAGGAAGAAAATTACACACGTTTTTCCCCGATAAGTATCATTATAGCTCATTTAGCTGTCTTACGCAGATTTTATGTAACGTCAGATATTTATTCCTCTATTGTGCACATACACGGAGAGAATTTTCTTTTAAAATTTACCCTGAAAATCATGTTAATTGTGAGAAAATATAGTATTTAGGTAAATTTTACTGTGCACTACAATAAATTTTACTGCGAAATCTTATTGTAATGCACAGTAAAATTTGCCTAAATACTATATTGTCCCATAATTAACATGATTTGCAGGGTAAATTTAAAAAAAAATTCCGTGTAGAAATTCAATCACGAGGAACGAATACGGATCCGCAGTCACTTCGCAATAATATGGAGCATTCGCATATGCCATATCGACCGTTCGTTAATCAACGATGGCATTGCACCCTTTTTTTCCTCTACGAGATCGCCCGACACGCGAAATTCCGCCGGAATGCCGCGAAGTTATAAATATTATATTGAAGTGCGGTAGCGTCGCAACGCGCACGTGCCCCTTCTGCATCCGGCGGGTCTATCTCGTTTGATATGAGAAATAATATTTGCCTTGGATTTTGCCACGTAAACGTTCGACAGATATTAGTGAAAACACGAGGAGAGAAGGCCGCCGAAATTCTCGGCCGGTATTCTCTCTCCGCTCGTCAGTGTATTCCCGTAAGGCAGTAATTGATCATTCAGAGGAAAAAGAATATGATAATAATCTAGTCTCTTTTAACCGAATCATAATCGAGTTCACCCACCTATCTTTTCTTCTCGAGTCTGCCGTTATTATATTTAGCCTATCCTACTCAATTACAAGCTCCGATTAAGCTGCAATTCTCTCGCATTCTTCTCGCATTCTCATTCTTTTCCCGATAATGTTTATCCGAACGTGATGCGATAACGCGTGCAATACGGTACGGAACGAAGGTCATATTACCACTGGAAGTGCGATCTGTGCCGAGTTAACTGTTCTTATCGTTACGAACTTCCCTCAATCTTGCATATGCAGGGATTGTTAATCAGCAGCGGTCAACAACGCAGTCGCGTGCAATTCTCTTCCGTCATTCTTGAAAGTCATCAGATACCGAGAGATATAATTTCCAGCGGACGTTCGCCAATTTCGCGAGAGACTCTGCGAACGGCGGTCATCGAATTCTCCTGTTGCTCTCCTTTTATTGTTTATTTAAACAAAAAAATGTCACTTTCTTACTTACAGTTTCCTTTAAGTACGAAAAGATCATACTCGGAGGGCGAAAACCTCGGTCGATCGGAGTGCCAGTGCAAAAATGCGCCGTCGGTTCCGCATGACAGTCAATGCAGGGTAGTCTTCCCGAGTCTCGCGGAAATTTGTCCGCAGGAATCTGGGATAGCCAATTTATCGGACTCTGAATTAGAGATCAGGTGAATAGGGAACTTGATGTAGCGTACAAAATTTTAATCGATAAAATTTAATTAATCGTCAAACAATGTTTATTTTCCAGGGAGAATCCAAGCGAGCTCGAATTGCAGGTAAAAATAAGCACGTCCCAAGTCCCGAAAAATCACGAGATGTTTCAGCGTGTAATTACAAACGTATGACACTGCTTCTGTTGTAGAAGAAGTACACAGCGTTCTCGTTGTGCCTCAGCATAGACAGATTGACTCTGCCGCGAAGGACGGCGATGTCGATTCGGCAACGCGATCAATCCGAGAGAAACCTCTCCTACGAGGTGCGGAAGATGCAGCAAGACATTCAGGCAAGCGAAATCACGAAAATATCTCGTCGCTTATCGATTCTTCTTTGAGCAATCGTTTTTTTTTTCTTTTTTTTCGGCTAAATTGTGTTAAAACGCGTTCTAAATTGCCGCCCGCGGGGCGTTTGCCAGTTAGTTAGCTAGTAGTCGTTTCTCCCATGGTTCGTTGAAGGGATTGAATTTTGCGTAACGTCAGGAACTCGCGCCACTATGCACGGACAGAGAATCCGTGGAGCGGGTGGAGCGGGTCAGGCATCAGTTGGACATGATCGTGCGTTGCGCGCACAGGGTGTCCTGCGCGGCCGAGACCCTGGGCGCCGTGCAGCAGGAGCGTAGAGTCTCCCGGGCGGTTCTGCTGGCGGACAAGTATCTCCACTTGCTGCAGTCCCGGTGCGAGAAGCTGTTCGCCAATGTCGCCGAGACCAAGTGAGGGTCAGAGTTATCACCCCTCCCCTAATCGCCCAATTGTGTTCGTCGTCCAATTCGTATTTTGAGTTTTGACGTTGCCTTGAAAATGTAATATTCTCATCTTCGGTTTTTCTGTCGTAAGTAAAAGGCTTTAAAAGACTTGTTTTCCGATCAATCAATAATCGAATAATTTCGGGATAAGTATTCTTGATGGGACATTTTGCGAATAGTTCTCGATGTGAAGTTCTCTCCCTCTCCCTCCCTCCCTCCCTTCTGCCGTTTTTAAAACGACGAGATAGTATCGGTGATAGCGCACGCTGTTCGTTTCCAGACGGATCCTGGTAGAGAACAACATAGTGATAGAGGAGAACTCCGGCGAGCTCAACGATGAACTGCCCCGCATCAGATACAGGAGCGGTACACCCGCCAATAATCGTATGATGGTTCGAAATTACTGAAAGATTTCATGTTCATAGCTTCCTTTTGCCAATTTTTTCATCACGCACGATTAGATATCCATCTCGTATCTCGGTTCGCACTTTTTTTCGTCACTTCGTTGTCGTCGTACTCTTGCACATTCGCACAATTTCCACAGGAATTTTTTGACGCGCAGCTCACAGCTTGCACTTTCATTTTTTTTTTCTTATCTTCGTTCTGTCGATTAATCGGTACGGTTTTTTTTTCGTCCATTTTTCTTTCTAGATGGCTAGGAGAAGAGCCAGCGTGGCCACAATGTCTCGGCCGATGGGCAGCACACAGGATGTCACAAAGGCAATTCGTCTTGTTTTAGCTTTGCTTTCACAGCTTGGTATATTTCAGGGTTCTTTTTTTTTTACATTCTGCACTAACACAATGACGCGCATAACGATTGCTTATTTACTCCTTCTTTTTACTCTTTATATCGCCTACATATTTTTCGCTTTGTGCTCCGTACAGGACGCCGTGAGGCAGCGAAACTCCGTTTCTGGACGCATGACTCTCAGGAGACCGTCTTTCAGCTCCGAATCCCCGAAGTGGGACATCGAAAAACTGGATCGAACCGAGTTAGTAATATCTTTATTATATTTATACTTAAATCTAGATCTTACGAGCTGTAATGCTTAAGACATTAAATATCTTTAAGTAGCTATTAGATATATATTTATTTTTAAAAAATATAGAATCTACAATATACTACATTGGATTTTTTATTTTTTAACAGAAGTTCGAATAGTATCAGTGAATTGCGGGGTATTTTCGAGCAAGTGGAATCTCGTCGTAGCTCGAAGGAGGAAAATAACAACATGTTACGACTGAATCACTCCAACAGTCAAAGTATAGTAAATTGTGCGATAATCGATAACGAAGTTTGGACGAACGTAAAAGAGGAGAGCTCACCCGAAGTTTCTGACAACGAAAGTCTTAATTCTGAGAGATCGAGGTAATTGATTTCTTCGTAATTTAATTTCCTTTCTTACATTATCTATATTGTTTAAGATCGTGCCTCTTAACGTAATTTATTGTTTCAGCGCGAGATCGTCGAACTCCTTCCAGTCGAGAAGACGGAAGAGAAGACGAATATCAATGTGGCACATAATGCTGTCGAGTATTCTAATTTTCTGCTTCGTCTTTTACGTGATTCAAGCCATGTCGTTAAACATTTGCCATGAACCGTTAAACAAACGTTTGATCGGATACGTTTTCGACCGTTACGGTCAGATAAGGAACCCGATGTGACTTTCTTGCGCGGTCCGATTAGCTGTATCAGTAAAATAAGTAGCAAGACTATAAAAGTGTACATTGTAACATATGTCAATTATGGAAAGGCTGAATAAATTAATAATTGCAGAGTTCTCGTCTCGCCTTCTAGTGAGGTCACGCTGCAGCCGCGAGTGCTGCGATTAAGGTTTTCGGTTTCTTACTACAACTGCGTTTGTATCATGATTTCAGAAATGACAAATTTAAATATAAATTCTGTTATGTTTAATTAATGAAACATAAATAAATTAATTCTTTCGTCTTTTATCACTCGCGTAGGACACTACGGTAAAATCCTATAGTATTTTTGTTCGGTGTATTAATAGATGTAAATCTTTCTAGATCGATATTTATTTGTACTAAACAAGTGGACAAATGTCGATTGAACGATACATTTTATTTATTAATGGAAGAGAATTGAAATGAGAAAAATGTTTGATACATTTTATCAATTTAATATCAAACTCGCGTGCGCAAGAATTAATTTGTTTCGATATAAAATGTAAGGGAAAAAAATTTCTCGCTTCCGACACTCGTAATTCGACGTGGCTGAAATATGAGAAACCAGAGATATAAAAAGAAACAGTTTATCTATGGCGCTCTAAATTGTTTGCATAAAAGAACTTGTGCAAACAATTTAGAGCCGAAACATAATATCAGTAGTAATTTCAGTGTCTTCGTTGGGAAATTTTAATGATACATTTGAGAACTGCGAGATTTAACGTTAAAAAATATTCAGGAATATTTGCGTTTATTATTAATAAATTATAAAAAATATAAGAAAGTTTATTTTAAACGTTTCGAAGTATTTATAAGTATTATTAATAAAGAAATCGGAAGAATCAAACATAATTTAATACAGAAATTCTTGATGTTTTCTCTAAACAGTAGCATCCCTCTCTCTCTTTCTCTCTCTCTCTCTCATACATTGATAAAGCTAATTAAAAATAATTTTGAGTAGACTACAAAAAAGATATTAGCGAAACTAGTTATCGACTTATTTAGTATTTTTTCATATACTTTAAAAAAGAAGAAATATTAAAGATAGATAATCTTTGCGTGATAGTTAAAATAAAATTTTGCTCATATAATATTAATTTTTCGATTTATCATTATTATAAATTGATGTTTTGTAAATATGTACATACAATATATATATATATATATACATATATATATTTATAACTATTAATAATATTCGGTTTTTATTGATAATTTTACTTTTATCGTCCATATTTATAATTGTAACTGTAAAAAAAATAATACGTATAACATAATTATATATTCTAAATATTTCGATTATTTTGTTTAAAATCACATCAACTTCTGTTTTATCTACATTTATTTCAGTTCATTAAATCTAATGTCGATAATCGATCGACATGAAATTACCAGTCTGGAGATTTATCGACCGTGTGACAAATTTTTTTTCGCAAACACGTGGCATTTTACATTATTAATTCGTACTCTCTTCGGCATTAATTCGCTTACTAACTTTCAATTCGTTAATTTACCATTTCACAGTCAACATTTTTATTTTGTTGAAGTTCACAAAAAAAAAAACGTGAATCCAACATTGCATAGATGGATCAGATGGATGTTTCTCTCAGATCAGCTGTGAGCTGTGATCAGCTGTTTGGCCACATCGCGGATCGCCGTATCCTTGAACGAACGAACGAATAAATGTGGCGGCGACGCGATAACAAAGCAATTAAAAGTAGATCGTATCGATATGATAACGCTTGCCTCGAATCGACAGTGGAGTCGCGGTTGAAACGTTGCCGAGTGATATTTTATTCACAGTTATGAGAATTTTACGATGTAAGACCCTGCATAGAGGAAAATTTTTTTCGTTCATTGTATTTTACATGACAAGATAACGAAAAACAACGATATATTAATATATATTTTTATGAAGATTTTGTGATAGTTATTTATATCTTATTAATCTAAATCAAAATTACAATATTAACAATAATATATATATATCAATTATTATATATATGTATATGTAGTCTGTAATATAAAATAAATTTAATGGTAATTGCAGACAAAAAATGTAAATAAAGGTTTTAAAATATCTTGAATTATGCAACTGCATAATAATATATATAACAATTATTGTTTCAGTGGTATAAGTATCTATAGAACATATAACACGATGGTACGACAAGTTTTTATTGGTCCATTGATTCATACAAATGAAAATGAAGAATTGATTATTAAGAAGAACGTTGCTGTATTTATTGAGGATGGCAAGGTATTTAATATTTTATTTATCACATTTTATATATATATTTTTACTGTATACATGTAATATATATATAAAATGTATGTGTGTATGTGTAATTTATATTTAAAATAATAGAGATAAAATAAAAAAATATATTAGTAACATCTTATCTCTTATGTAATATCCAGATTATTAATGTTGCGGAGAATCCATCAACAAATCGACAGAGGATAGATGATTTTGTCGCAGACTTTTGTGCAAATGAAGTTAATGTTTTATCACTTGGACAGTTTATGACGCCCGGATTTATCGACGGCCATACTCATCCAGTCCAGTTTCCGAATCTTGGACTGGGTTATGGCAAACATCTCTTAGACTGGCTGGAGACCTATACCTTTCCGCTGGAGAGACAGTATATTGATACAAAATTTGCAGAGCGAGTGTTTGAGGCAGTTGTGGTACTTAAAACAATTCCATTCTAATAATACCATCATAAAATATATAATTATTTCAGACATTCTTATAAGTTTTTTTTCGTTATTGTTCAGTATATGTGCTATTGCAGAAACGGACTATCGAAATGGGCACAACAACGGCGTGCTACTTTGCATCTTTATATGCCGAGGCGTCTGTGATCCTCGCGGAAAAAACTGCGAAGCTGGGTCAACGAGCTTTCATCGGGAAAGTGAACATGAACGCTCCGCGTGACGATGGATATTGCGAAAGCACCGAGAAGTCAATTAAGAACACTCTGGCTTTCATAAAGTCTATTGAGCAAATAGGGGTAAATGCAAAACTCGTATTTTATTGCCTGCGACGTCGCGACAAGATAATAGCTCTCTTCAATTATTAGATAGGCAGCGCAAAAAATTATTACACTGCTCCAAACTTGTTGCAGAATCCACTTGTGAAGCCGATCGTCACGCCTAGATTCGCGTTGAGCTGCGACATGGAATTAATGCGAGAGCTGGCAAAGATCGCCAAGGCGAGAGACTTGCATATACAGGTATTTTATTCGACTCGCGTAACATGTGCCAAGCAATGTACAATTAATGCTGTGTTATATATAAATACAAAGTATTCTTTATTCTTTATAGACTCATGTCTCTGAAAATAAGGACGAGATAATAGCAGTGAAACGAGCTTATCCAGACCAGCCTTCGTATGCAGCTGTGTATGATTCTGCTGGTCTTCTTACTAGTAAGGTAATACACTTCATTTTGTTGATTTATTAAATCTGTCAATCTACTATAAATAGATATCATATTAGATACCATATCAAGTATCAGATATCGTATCTAATAAAAATCTATTAAATATTATTGAAACAACCGACATCTTGTTCTCTCGCATAGAAATATATAGTTATCCTGAGATAATATGTTAGACTAATATGTAACGTGTATGTCTAATTGTTTTACAGACAGTTTTAGCGCACGGAGTTTATCTCGGAGACAGCGAACTTGCTATTATCAAAGAACGAGGAACAGCTGTAATTCACTGTCCCTCTTCAAATACAAATCTGAAAAGCGGCCTTTGCGACGTGCAGAGACTAAAGACTAACGGTATCAAGGTCGGACTTGGAACAGGTGCCACAAGAATCTCCTTATAGCAATTTTATGATTTGACTCTTTTCTCCTTATTATTGTATATATATCGGCTTTCTATTGAAATTATTGATATCGAGACTTTGAATATTTAATTTAATTATCATATACAACATAATATTCTTTATATTAAAGATAGATGTGTCTTTTGCTAGATGTTTCTGGTGGAGCCAGTTACAGTATGTTGAACGAGATGAGATCGGTTTTACAAGTATCAAATTGTCTATCTTTAACGAGAGACAATTATACGCCGCTTAGTTACAAAGACGTCTTCCATATGGCAACATTGGGAGGTGCCAAAGGTAAAATTGATTGTTATATATTTGCAAGGAATGCTCTTTATATCCATATATAAAAATTTACAATTTGCATTAATATATTATGTTTAGCACTCTCAATTGAGGACAAAGTCGGTAATTTGGCGCCAGGCAAACAATTCGATGCTCTCATAATTGACTTGAACGCAAAAGACAGCTTGTTGGATAATTTCAAAGAATACACGCTTGAGGAGAACTTTCAGAGATTTATATACGCCGGTGATGAACGTAATATAGTATCAGTATATGTAAATGGTAGGAAAGTTAAATAAGATGCTTTCCTACCGTTTACATATAAAATATTTTCAAATATTTTTACAATGTTTTACAATTTGTGTAAAAAATCTTTATCTTCGTACAGTGTTGTTTATATAATTTCATATAGTATAATATATGCTTAGTCTGCTTAGCATCTGCTTAGTCTGCTGAACGTGACCACTCACGTTGGCTTGGATGTTTTCGGTTTACAAGTTGCGCGAGGCCAAGAACAGCGTAGCCGGCGATTTAGCGCGTGACTTAGAATTATCGCAAAATTGATCCTCGAAATGACCGCGATTCAATGCGCGACGTTATGAATTTGGAACAATTGTTAATATTGTAATTTTTTAAAATCAAAATTACAATATTAACAATTGTTCCAAATTCATAACGTCGCGCATTGAATCGCGGTCATTTCTAGGATCAATTTTGCGATAATTCTAAGTCACGCGCTAAATCGCCGGCTACGCTGTTCTTGGCCTCGCGCAACTTGTAAACCGAAAACATCCAATGTGAGTGGTCACGTTTAGCAGGCTAAGCAGATGAGTGAGCGCTTATGGTGATTTCGTTAGATCTGCGTGAATAAACCAATCGTAACAAAGAATCACTGAGCGCTCACTGACCGGGACTGTCTGCTGAACGGCCAGTGTCAGCGAAAACAGCTTATCCGCGCCCGTGTCAGCTGAAGATCACATGCACTACCGCTGATCGCTCTAGCCCGTCCTGTCTGCCGGAGTATATAATCTCGGTTTTTGTACCCTGCGCCGGTCTTATTTTTCTCGAGTATCACCCACGACGGTGTCGTGCGTTCTGAATTCAAGTTCTCGGTACTGGCTGCGAATCCTTGCGATAACCGCGAATTCTTCGTGCCGAAACCCGAACAGTCGCAACGCGACGTCCACTGAAAGCCGTGTACATACGCAAGCCACATGTAAATAGTGTAATACATTATCTGTAAGCCAAGACACTAACGCGTAATTTTTTTTCCTTCGTGGCTGCCGCGGGTACAGTCGGGCACGCTGCGCGGCTCTCTCGCGCGCTTTCAATCGCCGTGGCAACCGCCGCCTTCGGCGATCAATGAAAGCGAGCCTAAATGACTTAAAACGGGTATTTACTATTTACGTTGACTACGTAAAAATCAAGTTGCTTGAAAAACCACGGCGCGGCTTCGGGAACCTTCTCAAGAACGATCGAATTTCCTTGTAGGAAATGCGTAAGGGAGAGAATGTTCTCGAAAACCTCGGATATATATACGAGTCGCAAGGGCGGCTCACGCACACACTAGCGTTCGGAGTTCTCGCTAACTATCGTGTATCTATACCATACCTCGCCGCTCGCGAAAAGGTGTAAAGCCTTATGTGTCCGCAATACTAGAAATCTGTCCAAGTTCTTGGACCGAGAACTGTGTAGTCAATCAACTTGCAGCTTTTACGGAAAAGTAGTAATTTTATTGGCTATACAGTTCTCGATTCGAGAACTTTAATCGATTATTAAAAAAAATAAGTATATTTTTTTCCATGTTATTACTTTCAATTTCTTGTTTTGTAAATAAATTGTGAAAGTTAAAGGAAGCAAAGAGAATTTTATTCAAAAAATCAAGCATAACTGAAATCCAAGTTTCCTGCTCCGAGGTCCTTGTGCGCGCATGAACAATGTAGTTTGTAATATAAAATAAATTTAATAATAATTGCAGGCAAAAGATGTAAATAAAGATTTTAAAATATCTTGAATTATGCAACTAAATAATAATATATATAACAATTATTGTTTCAGTGATATAAGCATCTATAGAACATATAGCACGATGGAACGACAAGTTTTTATTGGTCCATTAATTCATACAAATGAAAATGAAAAATTGATTATTAAGAAGTACGTTGCTGTATTTATTGAGGATGGCGAGGTATTTAATAATAATTTAATATTTTATTTATTACATTTCATATTATATACTGTATACTGTATACATGTAATATATACAGGGTGAGTCATTTTAATTATTTTAAATATTTTAAAATATCTTTATTATTTTAAATATAAATTTAAAATAATATTATAAATTTAAAATATTATTTTAAATATAAATTTAAAATAATAGAGATAAAATAAAAAAATATATTAGTAACATCTTGTCTTTTATGTAATATCTAGATTACTAAGGTTGAGGAGGATCCACCAACAAATCAAGAGAGGATAAATGATTTTGTCGCAGACTTTTGTGCAAATAATAAAGTTAATGTTTTATCACTTGGACAGTTTATGACGCCCGGATTTATCGATGGCCATACTCATGCAAACCAGTTTCCGAATCTTGGACTGAGTTATAAAAGACATGTCTTAGACTGGGTGAAGATTTATACCTATCCGCTGGAGAAACGGTATAAGAATACAAAATTTGCAGAGCGAGTGTTTGAGGCAGTTGTGGTACTTAAAACAATTCCATTTTAATAATACCATCATAAAATATATAATTATTTCAGACATTCTTATAAGTTTTTTCGTTATTGTTCAGTATATGTGTTACTGCAGAAACGGACTATCGAAATGGGTACAACAACGGCGTGCTACTTTGCATCTTTATATAACGAGGCGTCTGAGATCCTTGCGAAAAAAACTGCGAAGCTGGGTCAACGAGCTTTCATCGGGAAAGTGAACATGAACACTTCGCATGACCATGGATATTACGAAAGCACCAAGGAGTCAATTGAGAACACACGGACTTTCATAAAGTCTATTGACCATATGGTAAATACAAACTCGTATTTTATTGCCTGCGACGTCGCGACAAGATAATAGCTCTCTTCAATTATTAGATAGGCAGCGCAAAAAATTATTACACTGCTCCAAAACTTGTTGCAGAAGCCACTTGTGAAGCCGATCATCACGCCTAGATTCGCGTTGAGCTGCGACATGGACTTAATGCGACAGCTGGCAAACATCGCCAAGGAGAACGACTTGCATATACAGGTATTTTATTCGACTCGCGTAATATATGTCACGCAATGTACAATTAATGCTGTGTTATATATAAATACAAAGTATTCTTTATTCTTTATAGACTCATGTCTCTGAAAATAAGGACGAGGTAATAGAAGTGAAACGAGTTTATCCAGACCAGCCTACGTATGCGGCTGTGTATGATTCTGCTGGTCTTCTTACTAGTAAGGTAAAATTTTTCATTTTATTAATTTGTCAATCTATTAAATATCAGATATCATATCATATCAAGTATCAGACATCGTATCTAATAAAAATCTATTAAATATTATTGAAACAACCGACATCTTGTTCTCTCGCATAGAAATATATAGTTACCCTGAGATAATATGTTAGAGTAATATGTAACGTGTGTGTCTAATTGTTTTACAGACAATTTTAGCGCACGGAATCTATCTCGAAAACAGCGAGCTTACTCTTCTCAAAGAACGAGGAACAGCTGTAATTCACTGTCCCTCTTCAAATCTGAAACACGGCCTTTGCGACGTGCAGAGATTAAAGACTAGCGGTATCAAGGTCGGACTTGGAACAGGTGCCACAAGAATCTCCTTATAGCAATTTTATGATTTGACTCTTTTCTCCTTATTATTGTACATATATTGGCTTTCTATTGAAATTATTGATATCAAAACTTTGAATATTTAATTTAATTATCATATACAACATAATGTTCTTTATATTAAAGATAGATGTGTCTTTTGCTAGATGTTTCTGGAGGAGCCAGTTACAGTATGTTGAACGAGATGAGATCGGCTTTACAAGTATCAAAATCTCTATCTTTAACGAGAGACAATTATACGCCGCTTAATTACAAAGAAGTCTTCCATATGGCAACATTGGGAGGCGCCAAAGGTAAAATTGGTCGTTATATATTGGCAAGGAATGCTCTTTATATCCATATATAAAAATTTACAATTTGCATTAATATATTATGTTTAGCACTCTCAATTGACGACAAAGTCGGTAATTTGGAGTCAGGCAAACAATTCGATGCTCTCATAATTGACATGGACGCAAAAGACAGCTTGTTGGATAATTTCAAAGAATACACGCTTGAGGAGAACTTTCAGAGATTTATATACGCCGGTGATGAACGTAATATAGTATCAGTATATGTAAATGGTAGGAAAGTTAAATAAGAAGCTTTCCTACTGTTTATGTACATATAAAATATTTTCAAATATTTTAGAATGTTTTGTAATTTGTCAAGTAAAAAATCTTTATCTTCGTACAGTGTTGTTTGTATAATTTTATATAGTATAACATATGCTTAGTCTGCTTAGCATCTGCTTAGTCTGCTGAACGTGACCACTCACATTGGCTTGGATGTTTTCAGTTTACAAGTTGCGCGAGGCCAATAACAGCGTAATCGGCGATTTATGCTGTTCTTGGCCTCGCGCAACTTGTAAACCGAAAACATCCAAGCCAATGTGAGTAGTCACGTTCAGCAGACTAAGCAGATGAGTGAGCGCTTATGGTGATTTCGCTAGATCTACGTGAATAAACCAATCGTAACAAAGAATCACTGAGCGCTCACTGATCGGGACTGTCTGCTGAACGGCCAGTGTCAGCGAAAACAACTGATCCGTGCCCGTGTCAGCTGAGGATCATGTGCACTACCGCTGATCGCTCTAGCCCGTCCTGTCTACCGGAGTATATATTCCGTCGCTTACGGAGATTCAAGCCGACCAAAAGGGTGTTCCGTCGCTTGCAGAATCCGGAGTCGCTAACTCCAATCGAAGCTTCGACTCCCTTCGCGAAGTTGCTAGCTTCCACGTGGGGAATTCGGCTCAGGAAACTGAACCGGTGTACAGTGTATATAGTTGTAAATAGTGTAAATAAATTGTGAAAGTTAAAGGAAGCAAAGCTTTATTCAAAAAATCAAGCGTAACTGAAATCCAAGTTTCCTGCCCCGAGGTCCTTGTACGCGCATGAACAATATAGTTTGTAATATAAAATAAATTTAATAGTAATTGCAGACAAAAGATGTAAATAAAGGTTTTAAAATATCTTGAATTATGCAACTGAATAATAATATATATAACAATTATTGTTTCAGTGATATAAGCATCTATAGAACATATAGCACGATGACACGACAAATTTTTATTGGTCCATTGATTCATACAAATGAAAATGAAGAATTGATTATTAAGGAGCGCGTTGCTGTATATATTGACGGTGGCAAGGTATTTAATAATAATTAAATATTTTATTTATCACATTTCATATTATATACTGTATACTGTATACATGTAATATATACAGGATCATTTTAATCGACAGATTCAAATATCTGCTAAAATACGCAAGCTACAAAAAAATGTTTCAGACAAAAGTTTTCGGACTTCGAGGGGGCATAAGATCATAACATTTGATCCTGAGTGGCGTCGTCAAGGACAGGACAAGGTCACTTTGAATTTTTTGAATGGAACCTTTAATTTTTCATTACTTGTTCTTATATAGCACGCCTCGAGAACTTTCCAAAACATATAAAAGATCTGAAGAGCACAC